TAACAATAATGAAAAATATAATAATATTATTTATTATTATTATGTATTTTTTTAATTATTATTATTCCATTTTATTCCACGTGATGCTATTTCACTCTCTCACATATGGTTGTTCTCGTACATGGTTGTTCATTTAAATCTTCAGCCTTCCCTTCAGACTTGTACAGTTGTAGCGGCTCCTCTCCTGGGCTGACATTGCTTCCGCTGATGTCACTGCACACTGCGAGCTTCTCCCAATGTGCATTAGAGGCTACTGGAAGTCAGACAGAGCCCACCTTATTTCCTGGCTGGAGGATGTCCGGCGTTATCTAGCACTTTCCTGACTGTCCCTGGCCCACCACTTTTCATTTATTGGATTTCAAGTGTTTTTCCATCCTGGAGGCTCAGCATTACATGGGGGCATTACCTAGGTTGGGGCAAATCCAGTCTCCATAGGAATGCCATGTCCTCCAGGCTGACATCCACCCATCAAGGCATTCTGATATCTGCATAACTCCTCCCAAGAACCAGCCCGCTGCTTGTACCAGGGCTGAGGGCTCTTGAGAGGCGTACTGAGGCCGGATGCTGTAATGTTTTAAGGAAGCTATGCACAGCACCCTGCTGGCTCCTCCCCCCCAGCCGTGATCTGCCTGCACTGCACAGAGATCCAGTGATGAGATTGCTGGGTACAAAATAAGATATGTCATGGAAATAGAAAGGTTTTGTTTAAAATGTTATTAGAATGTTGATAAAGGGGGAAAGGGAAGGAACCAGTGAACCCGAGCATCCGTCTCTGCAGCAGAGGAGCTTACACTCTAATGTTCCCACTGAACTGGCGTCACAAGGGGGGGTGCATCCCGCACCCCGGGCGACGCCATTGGAGGGGTGACACCAAAATGACTTGACAGTCATTTTGGTGTCACCCCCTCTGAAAAGTCCTGCATTATCGTGCACTGATATAAGTAGGGGAGGTTATGTGTAGATTGTACACTTTTGCAGTTTGCAGGTATCACACTCAGAGAAAGGAGCAACAAGGGCACAGAGCCCAATACCAGGAATGGTCATCAGGGATACAACATGATTGAAAGCTAGATACCTCTATCAGAAGCCACTGATGGAAGCTGCTTCCTGGCCACCTACCAGTCCCCGGGCAATGATACCTCTTACAGTGATGCTAAATAGACTTTGCTGCCTAACTTTAGTACCAATACCCAGCCTGTGAGTGGGAGGATGGCAGCGTCAATCGGGCACTTGTCAGACAGGTGGCCATCTTTTGTGACGGATCGAGTTTCTACCTTGAAGATTGGCGGTCGGTGAATTCCAGTTTGCGGCAGCAGATTTGTAAGCAGCGTTGCGTTCTGAGGCTGAAGGTAACGCGCGTCTGCCTCCAGACCTATTAGTGTTTTCAACAATATGGCTTTTCCCTCGCAGCGCCGGTGATTACAGCACGGAACAATCTGTTTCCCATTCAATTGTCTGAGGTCAGCCAAACATATTGTTCTGTGCGGCAGAAAAGTGACTAAGCTGGAGTCGGAGTCTGCCTCATCTATAGAGAACGTGAGCGGTGCGAGCCGCTGTTAAAGTGAACCTTACTTCATTTTAAAGAGACACTGTCACCTTCAAAGTGACGGTGTCCCTGCAAAGGGTCCTCGCCAACCGCCCTGTGCTCACCTGATCAGTGTTTCCTGGTTACTTCTTGCCCCTTTGCAGCAGGCACCGGTGTAAAGCATCATGCATTGGTAACCTGGGGGAAAGGTGACATCACTCCACCGGTCATATGACAGTACTCAGGTGTAGTGATTGGCTGTTAGACCCAAGCCCAGTCACTGTGGAGCGGGTGAAAAAGTGCAAAGGAAATACTCTCCTGCTTTCACGCTGTCACTGAGATGGAGGAAACGCAGCAGAATGTCACTCACCAGTGACCCCTCGCTCATCCAACCAGCAAGGCTGCCACACCATGAAAGCAAGGGAGCATTTCTCTACCCGGGTGCTGGTGAGTTGTCGCCAGTGATAGGATCGCAAGTGGGCAACATGTATATCGAAGGCGATGGATTCAACTTATTGGTAGGTCATGGTTAAGGAAAGTCCAGTCAAGTTCATGTGGAGCCCAGTAGCTCCGAGATGAGGCCACCATCAACAAAAATAGGGTGCCCTTTATCTAAGGAACCCAAAGTTTAAGATCTACGTGTAAGTCAAGTAAGAGCACCAGATCTGAGTCCACCGTTTTTTAATTACGGGAAGATGCAGAAAATTGATGTCCATTTTCACTTGTGTTGTATTGTAGCCCTGAAACAGGGGCAGTATCTGAACCCCCGAAACACGTTGGCTGTTCTATGTCTGCTCCCATTAGACTTTTTACACGAGGAAGGCCTGTGTGACGGGGCCTCTAGGCAGCACTTTTACTTCAAAACTTTAAAATGCAGCGCATATTTTCCGAAACGGCTCCTCCTTCCCCCCCCCCGGAATACAACCAACCCAACTTCCCAAAGGTAAACTGTAAGAAAGTGATGCGGTCTATAAGTCGCGCACTCAGCATGCACAGAGGACTCCCTCCATTGTGCCAGGATGTGGATGTGGGTCATATGTGTCTCATCCTGGTTCTGAGAAATGTGTCTTGTGTTTTGTCTTTTGCAGCCAGTGCCAACGTTTGTAACGTGGTGTTAATGAGACACAGCGAGCTGGAAGAGGGCATCGACGTGCTGGACAGCAACGGAAAGATCGTCGGCTCATCGCGGATAGCTGCCAAACACGTGCGTTTTTTGTTTCCAAAATGCAGTATCACATGAGTGTCTGATATAAGAGATGGCGTACCCATTGTTATTCCAGTCGCCAAAAAAAATGAACTCCAGGCAGATATAAAAGATGCAAATGAGTGCAACTCTGAAATCTTTAATACGTCATTAAGTGTATTTCTGAATACAAGCTGTTGTCACCAGCTTGTATGTGACCAGGTCACCTGAATGTGTCCTGGTATCAGCCTCCTGCAGTCCCTGTACAGCGGAGCTGGAGTGTGAGAGGTAGAAGCAGCACAAGGAGACAATCAGTTCATGTGGTGAAAAGAAGCATGCTGAGAAGAGAAGAGAGCAGAGGGAGCGATGAGCTTGTCACTGTGCTTCTCCTTTCACTGTCGTCATGGGCTAGGGGCAGGTGTAGGACGACACGGGCTCAGAAGAAGTGGGTGAAATGATGCTGATTATTACACTGAGGACATCTGGATTAAAGGTAAATATTGCAGTAAAAGCTGGTCAGGTACAGATGTTGGATGAGAAGACCTGCCTTGTTTGAGGTCAGGTAAAATGTTGGCTGAGAGGACCTGGCTCATGTGAGGTCAGGTACTGATGTTGGATGAGAAGAGCTGGCTCATGTGAGGTCAGGTACTGATGTTGGATGAGAAGGCCTGGCTCATGTGAGGCCAGGTACTGATGTTGGATGAGAAGAGCTGGCTCATGTGAGGCCAGGTACTGATGTTGGATGAGAAGACCTGGCTCATGTGAGGTCAGGTACTGATGTTGGATGAGAAGAGCTGGCTCATGTGAGGTCAGGTACTGATGTTGGATGAGAAGACCTGGCTCATGTGAGGTCAGGTACTGATGTTGGATGAGAAGGCCTGGCTCATGTGAGGCCAGGTACTGATGTTGGATGAGAAGAGCTGGCTCATGTGAGGTCAGGTACTGATGTTGGATGAGAAGGCCTGGCTCATGTGAGGTCAGGTACTGATGTTGGATGAGAAGAGCTGGGTCATGTGAGGTCAGGTACTGATGTTGGATGAGAAGGCCTGGCTCATGTGAGGTCAGGTACTGATGTTGGATGAGAAGAGCTGGGTCATGTGAGGTCAGGTACTGATGTTGGATGAGAAGACCTGGCTCATGTGAGGTCAGGTACTGATGTTGGATGAGAAGGCCTGGCTCATGTGAGGCCAGGTACTGATGTTGGATGAGAAGAGCTGGCTCATGTGAGGTCAGGTACTGATGTTGGATGAGAAGGCCTGGCTCATGTGAGGTCAGGTACTGATGTTGGATGAGAAGAGCTGGGTCATGTGAGGTCAGGTACTGATGTTGGATGAGAAGACCTAGCTCATGTGAGGTCAGGTACTGATGTTGGATGAGAAGACCTGGCTCATGTGAGGTCAGGTACTGATGTTGGATGAGAAGGCCTGCAAGGAAGTTGGCATCCCAATTCATCCTAAAGGTGTTCAGTAGGGTTGAGGTCAGGACTCTGTGTACCCACTTGAGTCCCTCCACACCAGACTCCTCAACCCATGTCTTTATGGAGTTGGCTGTTTGCACAGGGAACAGTCATGCTGGACAGAAAAGGACCTTCACCAAACTGTTACCACAAGTTTGGAAACTTACAATTGTCTGAAAGGTATTTTTAATCGTAATGTTTTTCAATGGCAGTGTTTTTGATTTTATGGATCTGGTTTTGGAATGGGATGTCCACCAAGCTTATATAGCTGTGATGGTCAGGTATCCCTTAACTTTTAATAATTTGCTACTGTGGCTGTCAGAGTCTGGAATGCTTTTTTAATATGGAGTAAACCAGCAGAGCTGTACATCATAGACTGCGCGTCTACATCACTCCTCCTCCCTCCATTGCAGATCATTGCTGCGAAGTCTCCAGCTGTTTCCATTTTCCCTTTAAACACCTTAAGAACATTCACGAGAGGGCCATATGCTCCCTGCTTTTTATAAACCGCTTTTTTTTCTTGTATGCTTCCTTGGCGCCGTCCCTCGGGGTTTATTAGAATACTAATACAGCCACAGTTTGAAAATGGATCCCTGAAAAAAAAGAAAGTTTTTCTTTGCCAGTCAAAACTTTTTTTTTCTCCTCGCTTTATATGGGGAGGAACATGTATTTGTCAAAAAATTTATCAGGTGTAAAACCTGATGTGTTATGGAGAAAGTGGACCTGGCTCAGTTCTACACCCAATGCTGCACAATTTGCAAAATAAAAACCTGCAAAACCTGCGCTGTACCCCTGAATCTGCCACTTTAGTCATTGATGGTTGACGGTCATTTTTGTCTAAGGCCATCAGTGTCAAGCTGGTGTTTTTTGGGCAGCTTTAGCCCCTTTCACATCTTCTTTGCTAACCACTTCACTACTGGTGGTGCACTCGTGTTAAAATCTGCATTTTCAACTAGAAAATAACTTAAAACCCCAAAAACAATTGTACATTTTCTAACAGCAGAGGACCCTGTAGAATAAAAAGATGGTAATTGCAATTTTTTATGCTGCACCATATTTTCACGACTGTTCATCAAATCAAGATTTTCAGTAAGAAATACAGTCAAATTTTAGTGCGCAAAAGCAATAAAATTTCCCTTTTTGATCTAAAATAAAATCTGAGTTTGTGTCGACTAAAAAGATACCAAATATGTCAAGTCTCAAAACTGCATGTCTGCAAGTGGCATTGAGTAAATACAATTAAACAGCGTATTGTTTCAGTGAGTATACTATTCCTACTCATACAAATAATATAAATATGTGGTGAGACTTTTGATCTGCATGTCACATCAGTTAAAGGAACCCCCTATTTATAACCTTGTGTAACCTTTTAGTAACCCTTTTCCTCTCGGCTATTTTTTTATTGTGATTTTTTTTTTTGTTTTGTTTGTTTCTTATCTCTTTTTTCCAGATAGATGGATGGACGTGTGTGTGTGTGTGTGTGTATGTATGTATGTATGTATATATATGTGTGTGTGTGTGTGTGTATAGATATATATGTGTGTGTGTGTATAGATAGATAGATAGATAGATAGATAGATATACACTATATTACCAAAAGTATTGGGACGCCTTTACACACACATGAGCTTTAATGGCATCCCAGTCTTAATGCCATTTTTTAATTTGTAAATAACTTTGCTGTGCTTTGTTTCGGAAACATAATTTTACAGGGGTGAAGAGTTTGGAGAAGGCCGGAGAAGAGAACAATATAGGACAACATCGCTGAACTCGAGAATTTTTCCAAATCAGTTATGTTGTCCTAGATTGTTCCCTTCTCCTGCATTCTCCATAGTCTTCACCCTTTTGTGAATAGCCCTGTTAGTGTTATTTTGAATGGGACAAATTATAGAAGTAAATGTATACATTGAATTTACAAAAAAACAACTTTTTTTTTAAAAACAACAATGGTCAAAATAGATTTTTTTTTTTTTTTTGTCTATTGATTACATAGAAAATAAGACAATTTTATAAGTACAAATTGCTCTGTTCTATAAGGGATATACGGTAACTGAGAGCTGAAGTCCTTAATGATATGCTTTACATATGTTCTACTTTACTTTCATCATTATTATTTATTATTGGTATTTATATACAGTTATTCCTCACTTAACGACCAAGTTCCGTTCCTACGACCAGGTCGTTAAACGAATTGGTCGTTAAGCGAGGAACTGTATACAGTAGTGTATAGTGTTGCAGATGTACAGTACTGAACAGTGTACTGTAAATCGGGCAATAAAATACTTACCGAGACCCGCAGTGGAGAACGGAGTACAACACTTCTGCCGCTGCCACATTCCCCAACGTAAGGTCGGAGAGCTAGTCGTGAGTGCGAGTGATCACAAAGTAGGTAAGTCGTAAAGCGAGGAATGTCTGTAGTGCAAATCAGTCCCTGCAGTCAAAGAGCTTACACTCTCTAAGGTCTCTATTTCGCATGTATACATATGAGGGCCAATTAAAACAGGACCTAATTAACCTTCCAGCATGTCTTTGGAGTGTGCGAGGAAACAAGAGCAAACCCACACAAGCACAGGGAGAAGATGCACACTCCTTGTAGATAGTGACCTGGCCAAGATTTGAACCAGGGACCTCCAGTGCTGCAAATCACTACGCCACTGTGCCGACTGCAAGCATCCTTCATATGCAAAAGTGTCACAATCTTCACAATATTCTTCCCTTGGTCGCTGCTCTTCCCCCAGCCTGTGATTGGACTAGTAAAGAAGAAACGCATTGAGGCCATCCCTTTTCTGTCTCCTCATGGAAGCATTTTGACAGTGTAAGACTGACAGCATTTTTTTAAAGCAGTAGAATCATGTTTGGCTGAAAGTGCCTACCCCAACCCCCCATTCCACCGGCGCCAAGTCCGAAAGGCAACCGAGGAAGAAAAAAAGTGGGAATCGGGTAATTATTAGCTGCGTTTAAAAATACAGTGAGGGGAATTTATCAAAAACTGGGGAAGACAAAATCTGAAGCAGATTTGCATGGCAACCAATCAGCTTCTCGCTTTTATTTTTAAATCCTAACTGAAGATAGAAGCGGATTGGTTACTATAAGCAGCTGCTCCAGAATCTGTCTTCTCCAGGTTTGATAAATCCCTCCCCCCATTGTGTTTTTGTTAACTGAACCATAATTTTTTTGCCACATTCTTTTTTAATGTCACTTTTATTTATTTTGTATGTTATATTTTTTCAGTGTTACAAAAACAAATGCACAAAACTCAAAAAAAGGCCTTTCTTCATTTGGAAATAACTTTTCCATGCTTTGTACCAGAAAATAATTTAATTATTTTAATGTCATATTATATGAGACAAATATAGAATCATTAAAATATAGAATAAAATGTATAATTTTCATTTACAATAAAACTAATTTTAAAGCTAACACTTTAAAAAAGTGTTAAAGTTCTAAGTTAAAGTTCACATCTAAAAAAAAATGTTTAAGTTCTAAGTGTGTTTCTATTTTTTTAATCTTTTTGTCTATAGATTACATAAAAAATTAAACAATTTATGCAAGACAATGTTGCCAAAAGAAAGCATAGATTGTCCTGACTGGGGTCCATGGTTCGAAACCTGGTCAGGTCACTCTCTGCAAGGAGATTGCATGTTCTCCCTGTGCTTGTGTTGGTTTCCTCCCACACTCAAAAGACATGCTGGAAGGTTAATTGGCTCCTGTCTAAATTAGTACTGTATGCGTGTGCAATTGGGGCCTTAGATTGTAAGCTCCTGGAGGGCAGGTAGTGATGTGAATAGGGACCTTAGAATGTGAGTCCCTCGAAGGCAGATAATTATGTGAATAGGGACCTTTAGAATGTGAGTCCCTCGAAGGCAGGTGATGATGTGAATAGGGACCTTAGAATGTGAGCTCCTCCAGGACAGGGGCTGATGTGAATAGGGACCTTAGAATGTGAGCTCCTCCAGGACAGGGGCTGATGTGAATAGGGACCTTAGAATGTGAGCTCCTCGAAGGCAGGTGATGATGTGAATAGGGACCTTAGATAGTGAGCTCCTCCAGGACAGGGGCTGATGTGAATAGGGACCTTAGATTGTGAGCTCCTCGAGGGCAAGTACTGATGCAACTAGGGACCTTAGAATGTGAGCTCCTCGAAGGCAGGTGATGATGTGAATAGGGACCTTAAAATGTGAGCTCCTGGAGGGCAGGGACTGATGTGAATAGGGATCTTAGAATGTGAGCTCCTTAAGGGCAGGCACTGATGTGAATGTGCAGTATGTAAAGCGCAGCGTAGAAGTTTTGACGCTGCATAAATACCTGTAATAAATATAGATATGTATATAAATATATATTAATCACAAAGTTATCACTGAATACACAGGCCCATAGTGGAAATGTAAATATTGCTCTGGTCCATAAGGGTCGCAAAGGTACAAGGGATGAAGTCATTAATGATCTGCCTTACATTTGATTTGTTTTACCTTATTTTAATGACTGCAAGCATCTTTCATATACAAGGTCCAGGAGCCTTGTGAAGGAAAAGCTAGAAAAAAGTGAGAATCGGGTAATTATATTAGCGGTGTTTAAAAAATACATTTAATGATTGTTTTAATTAATACGTAATTGCATTAAAGGCTTTTTTTCTTTTTATATCTGCCTGGAGTTAATCTTTGACTTCCGAGTGATAATAGGCACTTGTGTTGGGTGCGCCCGTTACATAATGAACTAGGTTTAGAAGACACGTGTCCGTCTAGTTCAAACCGTTACATCATTATTATTACCATGCTTTGTACCTTCACCATATACACATTTGGGAAATGGCTTCTTTAGCTCTTCACTGAAATGAATTCCAATCATTCTCGCTCCCTGTGGTGTTATTCCTGAGGAAAGTGCAGTAGTAATTGAGATATTTATACTGTACTGCATATAGAAAAACATATGGACGCCTTGTGTTTTCCAGCATAATAAAGGGAGTCATCACAAGCAATAAACGCCCCCTCACAGAAATATGTTGCATATGAGAAGTCATACGGTTAATTCCTATAGTTCTGCCTGAATTAATTCCCCGGCATTGTCGCATCACAAGGGTGCCAAATCTTTATAGAGGATGGCGACATGTTGCATGCTGGATAACTAACTGTTTCTTGGTTGGGGGAAGGGGACGAGAGGTTCTCACTTCACTTTACTCTTACCTGAAGAACTTGAACTACTTCTTCTAAAAATAATATTAGTCTATTATAGACGGTTTGGCAGGCTGTAGATCAAACCCATGGAAAATGTATGGGGAGATACTTATATGGGGAGATAAAATACATTCCAATGTATGGAGAGGTACCATACATTCCAATGTATGGGGAGATACCCATATGGGGTGATAAAATACATTCCAGTGTATGGGGAGATAATCATATGGGGAGATACCATACATTCCAATGTATGGGGAGAGACCCATATGGGGAGGTGCCATACATTCCAATGTATGGGGAGATACCCATATGGGGAGATACCATACATTCCAATGTATGGGGAGATTCCATACATTCCAATGTATGGGGAGATGCATTAGAATGTATGGTATCTCCCCATATGGGTATGTGGAGATACCCATATGGGTATGTAGAGATACCTATATGGGGAGATACCATACATTCAACTGAAGTGCCTAACTGCTGGACCCATGACCGTTCTTGCCCATTGATGATAGCAGGTCAAACACAGCACTTTATCATCTCCTCCGATCCATAGCAGAGAAGATGGCCAGACTATTGCTATCATTGTGACAATGGGATCAATAAAAGACGTTCATTTGACCAGTTCTTCTGGTGTGCTGGTGACATTTGGCTTCTTCATTGGGCAAAAAAAAACTCACCACTTCTAGCTATACACAATGGGTGTTTATGCAGTTGGATACTGCCAGTTTGTACCAGTGGTAGGCACCCAGAAGGCCCCTAGGTATTGCTGGGAAGGACGGTGTGATTCTCATCTCTCTTCTTTCTCATCTTTCTGCAGGCACTGATAGAGACGGCTCTGACAAGAGTGGTGCTACCCATGCCGATTCTGGTTCTACCTCCCATAATAATGTCTGGATTTGAAAAGTAAGTATGGGCTCCAAGCATCACTTCCCCTTATTACTATTTGTTGAATTGTCTGTAAATCCAAAACTTTGTCTGATTTAGCTCTCACCATTGGTCCTGTTGACTATTATCAGCTCTCACCATTGGTCCTGTTGACTATTATCAGCTCTCACCATTGGTCCTGTTGACCAGTATCAGCTCTCACCATTGATCCTGTTGACGAGTATCAACTCTCACCATTGGTCCTGTTGACCAGTATCAACTCTCACCATTGGTCCTGTTGACCAGTATTAACTCTCACCATTGATCCTGTTGACGAGTATCAACTCTCACCATTGGTCCTGTTGACCAGTATCAACTCTCACCATTGGCCCTGTTGACCAGTATCAACTCTCACCATTGGTCCTGTTGACCAGTATCAACTCTCACCATTGATCCTGTTGACCAGTATCAACTCTCACCATTGATCCTGTTGACGAGTATCAACTCTCACCATTGATCCTGTTGACGAGTATCAACTCTCACCATTGGTCCTGTTGACGAATATCAACTCTCACCATTGGTCCTGTTGACCAGTATCAACTCTCACCATTGGTCCTGTTGACCAGTATCAACTCTCACCATTGGTCCTGTTGACCAGTATCAACTCTCACCATTGGTCCTGTTGACCAGTATCAACTCTCACCATTGGTCCTGTTGAATATTATCAACACTATTGGTTTAAAACAGGTTTCCAGCAACTTTAGTCTTTTTGCAGCTCTCGCAGCCTTCCCTTATATCTCTGCTCACAGTTGTAGCAGAAATTAGAGGCCAGTAGAACCATTGCACTGCACTGCACCCCTCCAGCCCTTCGATATACCCCACATTTTCAGGTATGGAGCATGTGACCTTCTCCCCTTCCTCCCAGGATGCTGTGCTCAGGTCAGAGTGCCCAGTCTCCAGGGCCCAAACACTGTCACGTAGTGGAGGTCAATAACTCAACAGAGAACTTGCAGAAGGATTAGACCCATAGCTCCATCAGGGGAGCAAGGAAAAGAGGAGTATCAGTAGGTCGGGGGGTTGACAAAAAAAAAAAAAAACTGATTGGATAAAGTGACAGATTCTCTTTAAATGCAAAACAATGTTGGTGATGAATTTCACCTTGTGTGAGCGGTGGTAATAAATACAGTTTATGTTTCCCCACACCTGCTCTGAAATTCCTCCTCTGCTGACCTGTAATTATGTTCATGGAGGGAAGTCATTATTGCACATTAATTACTCCTCTATTAGGCACAGGAAAAGGCTGTTAACACTAATGTCTTTACAGCAGCCGTGTTGTTCCTGTGTTCACAGGGACACCTCCCAACATCTACTCAACGGGCAGTAAGATGACTGCAGGTATTAACAAACAAGCCCCTGGACTACGTATCAGCCAGCAGTTCGATTGGTACTGTTCCAATATAATTGAGACACATAGGCAGACTATGTTCAGCATGTCAGGAATCATGGCAAATGTTGTCCCGACATTGCAGTTTAAACCCACTTGGCCCCCTCCAACTGGAAGGGCAGTGGAGGGGACAAAGTGCAGAGATCTTCTAAAAGGGAAATGTAAGTGCTTGCTCCAGAAAGATGGAAAGTTTTTTTTATACAGCTAGATACATCAGGCTAAAGGGCACTTAGGATTTGTTACTGAGGGTTTAATACTGCTTTATGGGGGGACATAAATAAAAACTCAAAATACATTAATGGGTTATTAAACCCTCGCATGGTTTTGCATATATCTACTAAACTTTTTCAAAGGGTTAATACTTACCTGTGTCTCCGCCGCGTGCTCCCGTCCGAACATCTGAACATTTCTCGGGCAGCCGCAAAGAATCTTGGGGCAGGCGCATGCACAGTTCAGATGTCTGGCTGGGAGACGAGGAGAGACCCAAGGTAAGTCTATGGAGCAGCGTGCACCCGCATGCAGACACCGTGGGACATGAGAGAAGAGGAGGACAGAGGAGTCAGCGATGGATCGGAGACCCTCAGCAGCGCTGGAGGGACAGCTAAAAACTACAGGAAAGAAGATCGGATTAAGTGCCATCATTTAAGGTAAGTCCTTACTTTAGCACTGGGGGGGTGGGGGGGGGACACTTTTGCCCTTATTGTCACTTTAGACGAACGCTCTACAAAACGCTCAAACATCTAAATCCCATTGTATTCAATGGGTCTGGTTCCCACCTTGGCGTATTTCCGCCCGTCCCTAACGCGCTACAAAACGGCCCACGCCTGAAAAGGTACAGGTACTACTTTGGGCCGTTTTGTTGCGCGTTTCCATTGGGATACAGCCAAGTAGCCTTCGGAAACGTGCGTTTGTCGAATCGCGATAAAAAAACGCGCGACAGTCGCGCATATGCAATACGCCTAGGTGTGAACGAGACCTTATAGATGACTCTGTGAATAGACATGGGCACCATGACAGTCCTTTCCTTCCACCCTAAGATTTGCATATTGAGTCTACTGTGTTCAGAGGCTCATAGAGTGCTCTAGAATAGGAAAGAATGTATGTCTTGGGTGTTCATATGTCTGTCCTGCTGGGATCTTCAGTAAAAATGCACTTTTAAAGCGATCATGTCACCAACTTAAAAATTCCAGCTAAAAGCACACAAAAAAGTATTTACTGATCCTCCCCACTTTGTGGCACAATCTGACCCTTTACTGCTGTCTGTGTACCCTCCAATCCCTGCTGCTCCCCTCCCACCATACAAAAGAGAGGATCAGATCCCTTCAGCTTGGTGAGTGGAGAATTGGTAAACATGTCTTATGCTCCAGGTGTCTTCTGTAGAGTGTCTCCCGTCCTCTGGAGCTCCCTACCCCAACCCGTCTGGCTTTATCCTAATCTGTCTGCCCTTAGGCGATCCCTGAACACTCATCTCTTCAGGGAAGGCTATCCTATCTCTACCTAACCACTGAACTAACACTTTGTAAAACAATCCATCCCCACACAGTTACCACCTCTTTTATCACTGGCCCCTCCCTTTTAGATTGTAAGCTCTCAGGGGCAAGGCCCTCCTTACCATCTTGTCTTGAATTGTATTGTGATTGTTGAATTACCATGGAAGTGGTCAATAATTAGCACTTCCATGTTCAGTAGTAAATGCTGGGCAGCAAGGGAGAAAAGAGTATAAAATTAATAATAAAAGCCGCGCTGTGTGGTGTGAATGAATCTACAAAAGTGTCAGATATAGTAGATACTGGTAGTAAAATAATGTGATACAATGTGTAAAAAAATTTAGATTTGTCCTTGAGATCTGTCCTTGTTGATCTCTATCTAAAGGGGAACCATCAGAGGTCGCCCCCCCCACGCGCACACACCATATACATGTGCACTATAACATTGTAGTAATGCATGCTATGTGTGTTGGTGCACTGCACACTCTGAGGGCTCTGCCGGCACGTACAGCCCCTGTCCTTCTCTATGGGAGTACGTGGCCGTACGACGCCCTACGTTCACCCGCCCTGCACGTCCGTGCGGGTGCGGATGGATCCTGACTGCACCCGCACCCTTTCAGACCTGCACTTGGGGTGAGCGTAGGGCGCCGTACGGCCACGCACTCCCATAGAGAAGGACAGGGGCTGCGTACTAATCACAAGCAGAACCTGTCTTTCCCAGGAGCTGCCCCATACGGCCACGCACGGAGCTGTACGTGCCGGCCTTTTCTCGTGTGAATGAGACCTGAAGGTTCGTTTACACGAACAGGCAGGTGTGCGTTGTGCCTGCATGCTGCTGTACATTGTTACAGAGCATTCCAGTGCTTGATCTTTTTTTTTTCTTTTAAAAAGTTCACATTCATTCAATTCTATGCTCGGCTTGTGTTGTGACTCATTTTAGCATGCTATATTGCAATAGAATGTAGGCCTACATTATTTTATCACAATGCACACAGGGCACTGCAGATCGGGTGTAACTACAACACATAGATGTGAAAGCCAACCCTCATACCTGCATAATTTCAGTTTTGCATAATTTCAGTTTTCATAGTATTTTTTATTTTTTTTTAATATTTGTTATTTTTTAACTTAATACAGTTGTATGTTTATATTTAGTAGAAATGTTAGTTATGTTGTGTTTGTGTGCACTCATAATGATTTTAGTATATTTTCATAAACATTTGCACAATTATAGCGGGATGTACAAAATCAGCGGCGCCAAGTCTGGGGGTATTTTCCAAACTTTCACAGGTGTAGTAAAAAATAACAAAACATGATATGTTGCACGCGGCCCTTTAGAGACTTTGTCCATTAACGCAAGACAAGGCAATTTGTTGCAAGACAAGGAACGTGGTGGTGTGCGGGATGCGACCGGGTAAAAACGGCTTCACACCCAGCTGTGCCTGTAGAACTGAACACAATGTTGCTTGTGACATTTCAATAAAGTTCTAACAAAAAAAAAGTACATGTTGCGCTGGGATCATCGCTTCGATTAGCGCAGCGTCTGGTGTGAATGGGCCCTTAGAGAGCTAAACTCTTCTAATCTGATCCTAGGGCAGCTGATCACAGCATTCTGCATGACTCACTTCTCTCCACCTCTATGGACAGTCCTTTACAAGTACCTAGAAGTATTTTATTTATCCTGGAATTCAGCTTTACCCTCTTGTCACTAAGATTATTATTAAATGATGCTAACTATATCTGTAAAAAATAAGTCAAAGCAACTGGACTTGCTGTATTTTTCTTGAAGACGTTTCACTGAACACCCAACCAGCTTTCTCAATTCAGAATGACTTGTACAAAAAATTATCTGGGAATAAATACACAATATTTATTCCCAGAGAATTTTTTTGTACAAGTCCTTCTGAATTGAGAAAGCTGGTTGGGTGTTCAGTGAAACGTCTTCAAGAAAAATACAGCAAGTCCAGTTGCTTTGACTTATTTTTTACAGATATACCATGACCTGGATGAATGAGAACCTTCACAGACATGATGCTAACTATGCTATGATATAACCAAAGAACAAGGGTTTGCCTGGCACATATGAACAGATAACACTGCAATCCTTT